TTCATGCTCCCACCTGCTGCTGAGTTTGGTCTGGGACTTTTCCAGTGCCTGGCTCTGCAGAGCCTGTGGTGATGTATACGTCATTGGGGGGAGGATTTTATATAGGTTTTGTATATATTTGTACATATTTGTATATATTTCATTATTTTTCTATTTACATTATTATCCTGTAGTATTATTGTTTTATTAAATCTGTAAGCTTTATTTTCAAATCCATAAAGTCTCTCTCCCTTTTTCTCTTTTCTCTTCCCTTCTGGGGAGGGGAGAAGGATTAATAGAGAGCATCTGTCCAGGATTTAGTGGCCGGCTCAGCCCTAAACCACGACAGTAGGAATTCTGAAGAACAGTGGATGTGACCGGGAGATTGACAGTGCAGACTTTGTGTTTCAGTAATCACCATTTTCCATTTTTCCTCTTTTAATGTCAAAGGATTGCAAAGCTATTCTGTCTCACAAGGAAACATGAGATTTGTCACACTGGCCATATCAAGTCTGCTTCTTGCACAAAAAGTGATATTTAAAAAAAACCAACCCTCACTATATAGTATTTATTTTAAAATTATGCTTTGAGGAATTATTTCTCCCTAACTCCATGTGGTTAATCATTGACTTACTGACAAAGTCTGATGTCCTCATTTAGGACGTCCCCTGTTACTCAGGTTGTAAATTTATCCTTCCGTGGAGGTACAACTACTGTGTGACAAGCAGCTTGGCCAGGTGTTAACAACTGCATGCTGTGCAGCCCACTTGCCTCAGAGGTATGTTTCTGAAGTGGTGCAGAGCTCAAGTGCTGGATAAAATGAGTTACAGTAATCAGTACTGTAGACTACTGGGTGTGCAGAGATGCCTGAATAACTTTGAAGGTTGAGTGTCTTCATATTGTGCTTCCCACCATATGTGGAGTTATCCAGGTTTTGCACAGACTGGGATGTCCCATGACTTGCATCCCTGGATAACAGAGTTTAGTAGCACTTTTATAATCCTTTATATATGGGAAAGATTATTTTTTTTTAAATTGTTGTATGGTATTTGCATGGCAAAGTTTGAATGGTCTACAGGGGTGGCTTCTGTGAGAAGCTGTCAGAAGCTTTCCCAGTGTCCAATAGAGCCAATGCCAGCTGGCTCCAAGACATCCCTGCCACTGGCTAAAGTCAAGCCAATCAGTGATGGTGGTAGCACCTCTGTGATCACATATTTAAGAAATGGGGGAAAAATGTTCCTGTGCTGGAAAGAGGAGTGAGAATACATGAGAGAAACAATTCTGCAGACACCAAGGTCAGTGAAGAAAGGAGGAGGAGATGGGCTGGAGCAGAGATTCCCCTGCAGCCCATGATGAAGACCATGGTGAGGCAGGCTGTACTCCTGTAGCCCGTCGAGGTTAATGGTGGAGCAGATGTCCTGAAAGAGGCTGTGACCTTGTGGGAAGCCCATTGTGCTCGAGCAGGCTCCTGGCAGGATCTGTAAATCTGTGGGGAAAAAAAGCCCATGCTGGAGCAGGTTTGATGGCAGGACTTGTGACACCCATGGGGGTGACCCATGCTGGAGCAGTGTGTTCCTGAAGGACTGCACCTCGTGGAAGGGACTCGCACTAGAGCAGTTCATGAAGAACTACAGCCCATGAGAAGGACTCATATTGGGGAAGTTTTTGGAGGACTCTCCCATGAGAGGGACTCTGTGCTGGATCAGGGGAAGAGTGTGAGGAGTCGCCCCCCTGAGGAGAAAGGAGCAGCAGAGACATCATGTGATGAACTGACTGTAACCACCATTCCCAGTCCCTCTGCACTGCTTGGCGGGGAGGACATAGAGAAAATTGGGAGTGGAGTTGAGCCTGGAAAGAAGGGAGGGTGGGGGGAAGATGTTTTAAGATTTAGTTTTTATTTCTCATTATCCCACTCTGATTTGATTGATAATACATTAAATTATTTTTTCTCAAGTCGAGTCTGATTTGCCCATGATGGTAATTGCTGAGTGATCTCCCTGTCTTTATCTCAACCCACAGGTTTTTGTTATATTTTTCATCCCCTGCCCACCTGAGAAGGGGAGTGATAGAGCTGCTTTGTTGGGCACCTAGCATCCAGACAAGGCAACCAACCACAATTACTCATATGCATGACTAATAACTCTCTAAATCCTGTTAAGCTCTTTTCCCAGGTCACGGCATATGACAGCTAACTCAGACATTCATGACTTGTTCTGTAGCAAAAAAGTAATCTCTATATGTCTATTGACCTGTTTACTGATCTTGGGTATGTTGCTGTCAGTTTAGAATAGCCTAAATCAATTAATCACTCTGATTTCATCCTAGCAAAAATTAGGTGAGAATTTAGCTCATTGCATTCTTAATTTAATTTGGCATCAAATGGGAAATAAAATTTTACTGGTCCTACCTTCACTATTCATTAATTTCAGAACCCTTGTGTCTGCCTCTTGTGCCCACATTATAGAAAACTATTGCCTTACCTGTGAAACAGTCCAAGCTTCACCTAATTTGCTGCTTAAAAATCTACTGTACCCTATATACTTTAAATAGTTATTGTAGATTCCCTCCTATGGTACTGGGTCTCAGCTATCCATATGGTTGAAATGAAAGGTACGTTACACATGGAGGTGACATGTGAGAACTTAGAAATTGAGTTCCTTTTGGGACCAGTAACTAATTAAATGGAGGCTTAAGTAGAACTGAAATATAAGTACATTGGTACTAGTGCAAAAAAAAACCCCTCCAAAACTCATGGGACCAGCATTATGCACAAAGACATGCTGGTGCTTAAGATCTTAAGGTCTGCTGACATCAACTTTAAAGTAAAGGTTGTATTTAAGATCAGGCCTGAAAACATCTGCTTTCCAGTCTGACACAAGTTCACCAAACTATTAGGAATCATCATCTTGGTCACCAACAAAACAATCCTTCAAAACACTTCAAAAAGTGCCTGTGGAGCACTGCTATCATTCAGTGATACTTTCAGGACACCCAGGAAAATCCTTTATTGTCAGGAAGCTTGTGACCAGCAGGATGCAACCAAGATTTTTTTTTATGAAATAAACTTTGATAGCAATTAATTATATTACAATAGAAAATGTAAAGTACACACTCGAGAATTTAATTTACTTGTTGTTATTGTCTATCACCATCTACTGGCAAGAGAGGAGATGTGCAATGAAACATTGAGTGCACTTAAGAGTTGTGTCTACTCTCTTTGCAGGGAGGAATATTTGGAGTCCTATGACAAAACTATAGTTTATGCAGATTGTATAGTTTTTATAAGGAATTATCACTTTCAACAAATTCAGTCTTCTTTATCGCCGTATCCCGCAGTAGTAGAGGGGAGAAGAGAGAGATCCGGCAGGCAGGAATGGTGCAGCAATAGTGATTTATTTAATTATTTAACAACTCTTTTATAGACTTTTTTCTTCATAGCCTAATTGGTCAAGAGGTCAGCCACCCCGCCTGGGGTGATTGGCTGAAATACTAAAACATCCATCCTGAGAATATTTTTCTACTATACCATAAACAATTCGCAGATGTTCTTAGTTTACAATAACACTACTGATAGCTTCTGTGAGAGGGAAAAGTTTCACACAGGACAAGAGAGAAGCAAGAGAAGTTCTTGCTACTGCATGTCTGCATCCACACTTCTTTAATCCTGGTGGGAGTTTACTGTTTGAAAATATTGAAGCTGAATATTTGAAAAACTTTTTCAAAAATAATCTAATGAGTACAGTGCCTAATGCTAGGTGGAACTGAGGATGCTAGAGGACTTCAGAAGGACTTTTCAAGACTTAGCAGAGAAAAATGCTGAAAATAATATTGCCCATGAGAAGGATGAGGTGGCTAAAAAAAAATTCTCTGATCTGATTAAAGAGGGACTCTCTGGGAGGTAGATGTGAACCTCCTGAGTCTGAGAAGGACTTTGAAGGATTTTTTTTTTCTCTGCTCCTCCACTTGCCCTCTCCCAGTGACTGAGAAATTATGATGGGAGCTGAACTGTAGTATTGTGAAAACACTGAGCACTGCTGACCATAAATGCCTTCATGGTTTTCTCCTTTTCAGCCCTGATCTTCAAAAATATGGAGATCTTTGGGAATTAGGCACAGCAGTATTTTTGAGATGTGGAGCTCTTAACAGTATTGGCTTTTATTGTAGCTTGCAGATCTTCATGGCTTTTATAGCTGGGTTTCCTATGGAAGTGACGCATGTGTGTATTTCAGTAACTTCAGCATCTCTTGAGGGATGCTCTAAATTTTTGAGATGATGAATGCAGGTCAAGGCCAAGGTGATTAGAGGCTGAGAAAAGTCAAGGTTTGCAAATCTTCAAAAGTTTGCGCCTAATAGCTTTGACATCCTCTAGTGAATCTGTAGAGTCAGAATTGCTGCTTTTGCACTGCGCTGTGAGATGCACATAAAGGGAAGATTATGTTTTTGGATTAATTAGGACTGGACTGATTTCTCTCTTGTGAAGCATTTCTCTTAAATTCTCTTGGGTTAAAAGCAATGTTATTGATATAGTTTATCTATTAATTATTGAAAACAGCTCAGCTGTTGCTGAGGAAGGTTTTGATTTTGTAGGCTGATAGTCCTTGAGGCTTCATCCCATTTCTCATCCTAAACTGCCAAGGTTAGCTGAACTATTAATGAAGCAAAATGAGTGAACATTGGCTACATCTGCAAAAAGGGGTCAGCTCTGACAGACTTGGGGAAGAAGAGAGCTCTTCATTCAGCCCCTAGGTACTTGTTACTTCAGTGCATAGTTTGGGCATCAGAATGTTTCATATAATTTTAAATTCTCAGGCTCTTTCTAGATTTGTTGGTCGGAAGAAATGCTTAAATCAATCCTACTTTCTTGTCTTGAAAAGGTGCAAGGAATTGTTTAACTTTCTTACTAATATCTTTCCTTTATAGATGCAATTTGCCTCCTATATCTGAGAAATACTTTATGGACGTTGGGGTAAAGACGGACATTGTGACTGTCAATCCCAGTATAATTACTGAGAGGTCATTTCTGTTTTTTTTTATTTTCTTAATGCCACCTTGCTGACAGGTTTGGGACCATGGGGCAAATTCCTGCATTCCTTGCTTGCTGGGGGAAGCTGTTTCGTTTCTTGACCAACATAAAATAATTTTCTTGCATTGTGGATTTCTTTTAAACGTTACAGTTAGTCACTTGAGAAATGTTTTTTCTCTACTTTGGTAATTGCTACTTTTTATACAGTTCTGCACTGCACAGTGCACTATACAGCTAAAACCAGGACACCAAACATTGGAAAAAATGCACACTTCTCATAATAAAATGAGAAGCGATACACGATCAGAAATGTCTACAAAGTTTGTCCACTATTTAATGAATGTATTGCCAAAAGAGGAGAGAAAATGTAAATTTTTTTTATCCCCTGCATTTTTGCCCTACATTTCATACATTTCAATTATGCCTGTATCTGCAATGTTTCAGTAAAAGTCCGTTGGAGGTTTCTTGTCTGTTGGGTCTGTGCTGGTATGACCATCCCTCACATCCTTTTCTCTTTAGATTCCATAAGCTGGAAAAATGGAGGAAACCCTTCTACGATGTGCTCCAGGTCTACGAGAATGCTTCTGTGCTGCTGCTAGCTTTCTACAATACTCACAACATGGACGTTTCAATACGGGTCAAATACGTCCTGGATGATTTTGAATCTCAACAAGCCATTTATTACTTTCATCTCCACTATCTCATCAACATCTTGCGCTACTGGTTCGGTCAAGGGGTCCGGGCCAAGCGGATTAGCACTGGACTGATCCTGGTGACTGCTGCCCTGGAGCTCTGCAAAGAGGTCCAACTTTTTGGCTTTTGGATCTTCCCCATGAACCCCTCAGGGATTTTTATAACTCACCACTACTATGACAATGTGAAACCTTGCCTTGGTTTTCATTCTGTGCCCTCAGAAATCTTCAACTTCCTCCACACACACAGCAAGGGGATCCTGCGGGTTCACACAGGGACCTGTAGCTGTTGTTGACAGGGACACTTCTTCCTCTGATGCAAAAGTGTTACAGGAACTCAATGCCTGTGTATGGTGTAGGAGGTTTTATTACACCCTGAGATTATGCAATAATTGTTTGATATAAATTTCCTCAAGGCATTGCATCCCATAAGATCTAGGATACCAGCATCTTTCCTGCTAGCAGAGTTGGGTTTGTAACAGTGTGGAAGAAGGAAAACTCCTCTGTCCCAGGATATACACAACCATGGAAAGCAAGTCAGATAAGAAGCACATTTCCAAAAGATTTTTTTAGGGATAAACAGAGCACATTTAATGTAGTTATCATTTCACTATGAAGAAAAGCACCAAACTTTTGAGGAGAATCAGTGGTGAAGAATTTTAGTGTAGACTTTATGACTTTACATAGGTTTCTGAATCAAGTACCTTGGGGCATTGCCAGTTTTTATTGAAAGCACTGTTGTCTTGCATTTGGGCTTTTGAAAATCCTCTTTAGCATTATAGTTTTAAGAGGGAGTATATAACTTGAGGTCTTTGTTCTGTCATGTCACAAAGTATTGGTGAAAAATAGCAGATGGATGTGACAGAAATAAACAAGGCTACTTTATTGAATTTTTCAGCCAGGATAGGAAAGAATGTTAAACTCCCATTCAGAGCAACAGGTAACTGTGTCGATCATAGCGTGCAATTGTTTTAGAGTTTCTTTCTTCTTCCTTCTTATATCTCTGATCTCCTCTGCTGATCATGTTTTCTTTCTCATTGCCTGTAATGCTTTCCTTCTAGCTAATGCATGAGCAATGCGTACTTCTTCCTACAGTGACCATAGCTTCAGGTTGGAGTCCTTATTGAAGAAACATGCTCCTTCACACTTCTGCGAGCTTTTCGTGGACTGAATAGCAAGGAGATTACGTAGTTATATCTTCTGAGGTTGGTTTTTTTTTTAGTTCAAATATCACAGCATAAGGTTGAAAAAGGCATTTCCTCTTTGATTTTTGTTAAAGACTTTGTAAGGGTATCTGAATGTTGAGTCACTGTTGTGTAGGTCGAGTTAAATACCGTCACGTATCTGTGATAATTACTGGCTGGAAATGAAGTTAAATGCAGTGAAGATACTTTGTGGCTTGGATTATGATGCTTATTTAAAAGTATGCATCTCAAGATGTCAGATGTCTTTACATTGCATTTTTGTATGTTGAGAATATTATTAGGATAATAAAGGGACTGGTGTAGGCTTTAAGAAGTTATCAATGTAACTGTCAGTTGTGCCCAGCTTAATTTTTCACCTGATAGAGCTAAATTGTCAAAATCCCGATGCACAGAGGATATCACGTATTACCGGAGTTTATTTTGGCTGCTGAACTGTGGTGTAGTAGGCAGCTGGTATAGTCCTTTCAAACTAGTATGACTGGGCACACGGGAGGGTGAGGTTTACTGTTTCAGCTGTGCTGGCATAGTTAAATGAACAGAGTTTCATTGTATAAATTCTAATGAAAAAGGGATTAAAGAAATCTTGGAAAGCATTGTATTACTTATCACTTACTAAATGCGCTGCTAATTGAAGTCTTGAGTTGCTGATAAGAACCAGAGAGTGGTCTCAAGAACCGGCTAAACCCGACCCCCCGGATTGAGCAAGAACCAGAGAACAACTGAGTCTGCGCACAAGCAAGGGTTACTAGCGGTCACGGAAAAAGGTTCTCCAGCATGACCACCAGAAGGTACTGCGCAAGCGCAGTTAGGAGGAGTTTATGGAAATGACTTCCTGGAACTAATCTTAATACGAAGCGGGGATAGGTCATGCATATGTATAGGCGTATTGGGAAATCTTATGTATATCTAACATTTTACCGCATATAACCTCGGCGAGCAGCGGCACTCGGTGCACAAGGTTTTAAGAAAGCTCTACCTTGCTGCCCACCGGTGAATAAACATACCTACTTTACAATCTTACGGATTGTGGGGTCTGCTTTGTATCCACACGTCACTTAGACTGAAGCACTTGGGCTGTTGTCCAGTGCCTTGTATTGTCTTAGATTACAAGATCTTTGATCAAGGATTGGGAGTTTAAAGTGCTAACTCTAGATGAGGGATACTTTTTTTTTTTTGGAGGGAGAGAGTTTAAATCCAAATCTGGACTTGGATTTTGATTTTGTAATGCATGAATGCACAAAGCTTCTTTTAAAAGCCTCTGTTCTATGCTGAGTGCTGTGGAAATTGCTCACACTAGAAATAAAATTATTGAAAAGGAAGTGAAGCACAGTGGTCACCATTTCAAACTGACCTGGACGATAGGTGAGAATGTATTATTTCCTTAACTTTACACTAAACTCCAGAAGTCCCGATCATTTTTAAAGCAGCCCAGATTCTTAATAAAGGTGTCAGAGCTCATTTGGGAAATACCAGCCAGGAGTAGGTGTTGGATCTGTGCTTAAGCTTTATATATTTGTGTTGTCCTTTTGACCTTAGAGTTATACTGCGTTAGTGAGCACCAGTTCGTATCGGCTAGCCACAGCGTGCTAAGAATGAACTTAGCTGAAATGGTTTCCTTCATTTAATATGCAAAAGAGATCTTTGTCTTTGCTGTGGTTTGTAAAATTATGTGCAAAAGGGCTTTGATAATGAAGTGTCGTGGTTCAGGCCCAGTGCATAACTGAGCACCATGATGCCCCAGAAAGAGGCTAGTCAAAATAAGGACTGGGAGGGCTTCCCAACACCACTTAATGGTCATGGGCAAAAGACAGACTCATCATAAGGAGAAAAACAAACAAACAAAATTAATTTGTTACCAACAACATCAGAGTAGAACAGTGAGAGATACAACCAGATCTTAAAGTCAAACACCTACCCCCCACCCCTCCTTTCTTCCCGGGCTCAGCTTTTGTTCCCGGTTTCCTCACCTCCCACCTTTCACCCAGGGGCACAGTGGGGGAAGGGAGTGGGGGTTGCAGTCAGTTCATGTTATGTAGTCTCTGCCGCTCCTCTTCTAGGGGGTAGGGGAGGACTCCTCCCAGCCTTTCTCTCTGCCACATGGCGCCCTTCCCACAAGAGATATAAAAAAAGTATGTCCACAAAAGTCCAATGTGGGTCTGCACACAGCTGCAGTTTCCCTCACGCACAAAACTGCTTCAGCCCAGGTCCACAAAGCTCCAATGTGGGTCTGCCCACAGTCGCCACACAAACTGCTCCAGCACACCCTGCCTGGAGTCACGGCTTCTTCAGGGCCAGCCACTTGCTCATGTGGCTCTGTCCCACCAGTGAACTCCACAGGCTGCAGGCAGGTCGACCTGCGCTCTTGCCACGGGTTGCAGGGGGAACCTCAGCTTTGCGCCTTCCTCCTCCCCCCTCTCCTTTCTTCCTTCAACCAACCTTGGTGTTTTTTAAAGTTGTTCTCCTCAGGTCCCTCTCCTTTCTCTGCTGCAGGTCCCTCCTGATTGTTCTGAAGAGTTCTCGGCTCTCTCTTTTGGGCTGAAACTGCAGCAGGGCTTAAGCTTAAATTGGGGCCGAGGCCGTGCTGGTTGAGGCCGGCGTCAGAGAGAGAGAGAGAGAGCGTGCTGTAACCCCCTTAAATACATGAATTCACAGGGGTGCTGATTGGCTTGGCCCTGGTCAGAGGTAGGTCTGGGGGAGCTTTTCAGGTAGCTTCTTACAGGGCTATCTCCATAGCCCTCCCCCACTACCAAAAACTAAACCAAAACCCCTCACAGAAAACCCAATACATGAAGTGCTGTAATGAAAGTGTTATTTAGAGAGCAATGTGATCGGGTGGGTTGGCCATCTTTCTGTGCATTAAGCTTTACGATGACAGGAATGACACTGAAGCTGGTACCTAGAGCCCTTACTCCTTATTTTGCCTGAGTATGGATGAGTGGTTACTTCAGTCTGCTTCTCCTTCATTGTCAGGTCAACAGAGGAGGCTTATGAATTGGCCAGTGCGTTCTTCAAAGGGAAGGAAGTATTTAGTTGAAATATTTTATCCTCCTTTGCTTTTTATTTATGAAATTCAACATTGCTGTTGGACAGAACAGATTAAATGGTGATAGGGCCATTATAATATCTTAGCATATTTTCAGTGATTGCAACTGAGTTGTCAAAGCCAGCTCATGAATTGCAAAGGGAAAGCCGTGCTGTGGCATCTCCTTCTCAAGGAGGAGAAGCATTGCAGGCCATAATCACCTGGAAAAGTGATGTGCTGTGGAGTAACGTGACAGCCGTGATAGATGAGGCTTCACAGCTTGCAATGGCCAGGAGTAGCTCCCCTAGTTCTCTACTGATGATAAATTAAAGGTGATGTTCACTTGGGATGGTTAGATGTAGAAGAAGGAAGGAAATAAACTCTAAGAATAGTCCACTCTGTGGGGATTCGGTGAACCAGTAGAAATGTTGCTCAGACCTTGAAGGCAAAAACACTGGTGGTGACGGAGCTATGTGGGTGGACTGCCTTGACGGCTTGGCATGGCAGGAAGGAGCAATCTCTGATTTGCATGTGAAGGAAAGCGGGGTGGATAAAACACAGAGACATGGAGCAAGAGGGAACTTGGTTTTTTTGTTGTTTTTTTTTGTTTAATCTTCTGAGGCCTGGTGTCTTGTTAGCAAAGCTCTGACTGTAGAGAGGACAAGCTTGGGTACTGAAAATGGTCCTTTCCCTGTCACGGAATCACACCAAAATGGCTACACGCACACAGATAATGAACTCAAACAAGCTTTAATCTGCAATTGAAATTAAGCAGACAAAACTTCATTCACCAAAACAACATCCCACTGACATTCAACAAATACAGGTTCGATATGCTGGTTGGGAATAGTACCAGACACAGCTGAGTTAAGAATTCTTAAGTTTTTGGCCAAATGATCCAAAATGTGCACTCACTCACTCACCAAATAGGGAGGGCTCTCAATCTCGAGAAGTTACCTTAAGTGGCGTCCCAACTCAAGGGGAGAGTCCCCGACTGCAGACCCGCTGCTCCGAGGAGGACTGACTCAAATGAGTCCTCTGACGGGGCCCCATTTATACCCTGGTCGAA